CAACACAAACCTTAGGCTTTATTAGAAAGTGAAGAAGTGCCTTTCTCACCTAGAACTTCAAAGGAGTGCTGCGATTATTTTGAAATATTTATGAACCTTATTTTTTCTTTATTTCCGTTACACTCAGCACTTAATAAAGAAACTCCTAGCATAAGAAAATATTTGCATAAGTTATGTAAATATCTATGTTGTAGTTTTTAAAAGGTGAGATATTTATTAGAAAGTTGGGGATATTCACTTTCAAATTATTGAAAATATGCGACGTGTCCTAAATATCAGCACATAACTTACATGGTTTGTTCATTTAGCTTGAATTTGACCTGTTTTGGGGCTGGAGCGATAGCACACCGGGTCGGGCATTTGTCTTGCACGCAGCAGACCTGGGTTTGATTCCCAGCATCCCATATGGTCCCTCAAGCATCACAAAAGAATTTGACCTGTTTTATTTTATGCCAGTTATTGATGTACATGGTTTCTATTTGTGTTATACACTTTGAAATTAGAATTTTAGATTTCAAAGTATTTGAGTGATTCACCCAGTTTTTGTTTATTGAAAACAAATTTATTCAGGGAATGCTACAAGTAGGTTACATGTGCCTCTTAATTGATCCTGGGATACGTACTTGAATTTGTTCCCATGTAAAGATGAACTATGTTAATGGAAAATAAGTTTATAATTCATTGCATAGCCTTGTTCCATTGGATTTATGGTATATAAAAAAGTATAGAGGGTATTCAGTAAATGAGCTTGGACGAGGAACCAGCAGAGGAACCTAGGTGTGTGGGACCGGGGCTGAGATCTCCAAGCCTGCTCAGTTCAGGACTGGGCCTCCTCCACCTAGCTCCCCCACCTTCCAGTAGCTAGACAGTTACACCCACCAACTGCTGTGTAACCCCATCAATAGCCAGGATCCAGAGACTCTAAAACCAAACTCCTGGAAGAGAACAAGGCAGAGTCTCCTGCCCCCACACCTGGCTGTTCTCACCGGGGCCCCTTGGAGAGGGGCAGGTTGAGTTTCCCTCTCTGCCCCGAGCAGAGCCCCAAAAGCTGAAGACCTCCAGGACCCGGCCAAAGCCATGCTGAGACCATTCTCCACACGCTTGGATGAGGAACCAGCAAAGGAACCCAGGTGTGTGGGACCCGGGGCTGAGATCTCTAAGCCTGCTCGGGTCGGGTCTGGGCCTCCTCCACCCAGCTCCCCCACCTTCCAGTAACTAGACAGTTACACCCACCAACTGCCGTGTAACCCCATTAATGGCCAGGATCCAGAGACTCTAAAACCAAGCTCCCGGAAGCATGCGGCCGCAAATGCGGCGGTGCGACCTCTTATTCTCTAGTTCTCAATCTCAGAGAACCCGGCAGGCTACTGAGAGTATCATACCCGCCTATATGCCTGACTAGGAACACCTGTAAAGGTGATTAGCGGCTGCCCCCAAAGCCTCCATCCCTCTCGGAGAGCCCAGCAAGCTACCGAGAGTATCCTGCCTGCACAGCAGAGCCTGACAAGCTAACAGTGGTGTATTCAATATGTCAAAAACAGTAACAATGAATGGTCCTCATTCCCCTGACCCTAAATGAGCCCCCAACATGTCATCAGGCTACACCAGCACGTGACAGGGATGAATGGAGACATTACTGGGCCCGCTCGAGCGAATCAATGAACAATGGGGTGATAGTGATTGTGATAGTGAGTTTGGATAAATTTATTCAAATGCCTCAAAGATGAAGAGTCAGGGAACAAGCATGAAGAACTGGTACATTTTTGATAGATATGATTAAGACTCCAGTGATCAAAACTAAATAATAAAGACATTAAAATATTTTAAGATAAAATCTTGGATTGGACTGTGAAGTACTTTGAAACATTATAAGGTATGAAAGGGATGAGAAAAGAGAACTGTGGAGTGAACACATTTGCTAAAGTACCATTGAAAATACTACAAAACAAACTATAATTTAAAAAATTCCTTATCCTTTAAACAAGCAAATTATCTTATTAATCTTAAGGATTAATATAGGACAAAATAAGATTATATGATAAACATTTGTAATGCCTATAAAAATAGAGGAGAAAATGAATTTAGATAAATTGGAAGTAACATCCTTGTAAACAAATTAGGAAACATATTCTTTTTGCTTGCTAGATAACATTATTAAAATCTGACTAAGCATTTTATTCTATTACTATGTGTCCTCTGAAACAACAGTAAAGCAAATACTGATGTTACAGATATCTATTTATCTGTTAAAATACTGTTTAATTCTGTTGTCATCATTTAGATTGTCCTTCTGAAAACAAGTATACCAATTTGTGAAATTAGATACTGAATTGCACATTTTTTTTATTCAACGGGTATTTCTGGTATCTCAACATTCTCTCTCAAGATAGGTATTGAACACAGAAAGAAAAAGCAGAATCTATAAAAAGGAGAAATAAATGTATATTTATAATATAGGATTAACAATATAAAATGTGAAGATCTCAAATACTTAAGATGCCACAAAGTTCATGGGATCTGAAGAATCATTCAGGAAGTAACATCAGATTAAAGTCTTGACAGCAAAATTTAAATTAATCCATGGTAAGGAGCTGGGAGTTGGGGAGTACAGCATTCTACACTGAATTTCTTTGTCTAAGTTTAGGTCAAGACTCTGGAGAGAGATTTATAATTTGAAAAACTGCAACATTCAGAAATGACACAGGAGAGGCAGAGGTTTGGCATGGAATGTGCCACAAATTACATGGTAATATTTGTGTTTTAGAGATGATTTGTGCAGTATGCAAAAACAAAAAGGATTGATAGGTGATACTGAGGTAAGTAAATCCAGATGTTAGATGTTACAGCTAGTATGGAGTGGGAGAGTCAATAGGTGGTTTAATTAACTACCAAGAATGCTAAAGGAACACTGATTTATGACTAATACAAGGAAATCAGAGATGAGAAGGAAATACCACAACAAGCTCTAGATTTTGGATTAAGTAACCAGCTGCTGAGCACAAATAAAGACGGCAAAGGGAAAAGATTACATTAGGGCATAAACTGAATGTGAAAATCCAGGGTTTTTAAGATATCATTAAATCCCCTTATTACTCTGCAGAATTCTGTTAGAACTATTAAAAGACTCTTTCGAAGTATCTGAAATAAAAATGTAGAATAGTTTTCTACTTAAGCTTTTTTTCTTGCTTAATATTTTAAGTCATGTACAATTGGTCATTATTTGTTAATCCATTTCTATGATGAGAGGGATGCTGTCTCGTTTGCCTAGGCATTGAAAATCAGATGGGCTGGACACGTAATGAGATTTGGAGACGACCGCTGGACTAGAGTCGTTACCGACTGGATTCCGTAGGACGTCAAAATATCACGTGGCCGCCCACCTACAAGATGGTCAGACTTCTTTGTCAAGACGCTAAACAATTGGTTTGAGGCTCTTCGTGTTTCTAGAACGAGCAGACGCCATTGGGCTACACTAGCACGCAAAAGGGACGAATTCAGACATTACTGGTGCCCGCTTGAGCAAACTGATGAGTAACGGGATGTCAAGTGATCAAGTGATATCTATGATATTAATTAATTGAAGCATTCCATTTTTACTCTAAATAGTGGTGAGGTGACTTCAAGAAGTTCTCCAGAAAGAATCCAAAAAGCCAAAACTTGACTTAAATTTTCTTAGTACTTTTACTGTGATAAAATCATTCAAATGAATTGACTTTGCTAGAAAAACAGCAAGTGATGCCATTAAAATTTAACTGTCTAGATAAATATTTCATATTATTTTAGGGGTAGCAATTTTTCTTGCTTGAAAGAACTTTGGCCTAAATAGTGCTGTCAAATGAAATAACACATACAGCAAATAAGCTACAAAAAGATTTTGGTTTTATATATGCCTAGTCATACATGCTATTTTAAATTAGACCTAGCTAAACAGCCAGCCTAACTAAATTTCCATCAAGTTCAAAATATGTAGATTAGTTTAGTAAATTTATAGGTTATATGCCATCATATAGATGTGACTCAAGATAATTTTGATGAAATTCATAGTTTATCAACCAAAACAACGTGCCATATTTATAACTCTACAATAAAAAATAAAATGAATTTGTCATTACTTAATGGATTTATTCTAGGGATCAGATAGCTAATATGTTCGACACAAAATACTACCAAAAAACATGAGCAGTTTTCAAGTCATACTTTATATGTACTAGTCACACAATATTTTAATATTTGTTAATATTCAAATGACATGAAGGTTGCAATTTTTACTACAATCCATTATAATTTTATGTCTGTTTTTCATAATTTTTTTTCTCAAGCTACTGAACTCCATTTCTTGAAGCTACTAAACTCCATTAATCCCTGGGTCACCAACCATTAGGCTTCCTTGTCAATCCCCAGGGTTCCTCACACTGTCTAAACTCCAACTGTGCTGTGAATCTGAAGATATGGGAATCACTGGCAATCAGGACAAAAATCAGGTTTCACTCGGCCATCTTCAATCTAATCTAATAGCCAGCACATGGTTTTAATATTGCAGTCAAAGCCAATGACAACTTTTCACTCCTACTCAGATTTCATTTACTCTGATGATAGTGAGTTTATAAAATATTTCAGTTATATCTGCAAAGAACCTAAACAAGACATTTTGATAGAAAAGTCTTATGCATTATGAATTCAGCAATATGAAAATAGTTTAGGACACCTGGAATTTAGGCAATACAATTCATATTAGTAAACACTAATAGAGCATTTCAGATATTTAGCTTTCCCCAGATACCAGAAAAGTCAAAGTCAAGTCAGAGATACCAGAGAACCCTAAACTAGAGAAATAAACCCAAAAACTGTTAGTTATTACTGCAACTGTACCTGTACTTGAAGAAATTCAAACCCATCACATTAAAGAATACTGTGCAGAAATAATAAGAATCACCTTAGTTTGGTAAAATAAAGCTGTGGAGATGAGTGTGATTAGATGGGGAAATCTGCTTTTGTAGTGATGGAGCTTTTAAAGTATCCAGTTTTATTTCCTTGTCTTAACACCAATATTTACAGAGCAAATATATCTTTTTCTTATAGAGAATATAGAGTAGCTGAAGGCAAAAAAAAAAGTATATTTTTGTTTCACGAAGGCACTATTTTATAAAATGGAAGGATAAATGTTACACAGAAAATTGTTACAAATACTTCTACACACAGCGTGACTGGAAAAAATAAGACAGATGGCAAAGGCGTTCTCTTTAATGGATTCTTTGGTTAGGAACAGGTCTTGAGTGACACTTGATCTAATAACTCTTAACTGCTTTGTGGTCAACATTTGGCCTCAGGAGGACCTGAAAATTAATCATCCTTGGTTATAGCTCATTAAACAATTTTAATGTAATTTACCTTGCTTTGATATAAAATAATTACTGAATAAAAATATATCATTCGATATGACACAGCACGTATTATTTAAAAGCTACTATTCAGGATGTCATACAAACTTTTCACCCTTTTGAAAATATCAGATGATTTTAACAGGATGCATAAGCAAAGCTAAAATAAAAACTCTTCGCACATCTTCCAGTGATTCTTGACAGGATGTTTCTCATTCACTGGTCATAGAATCCTGGGTTAAATAAAGCATAATGAAACATAATTAGCATGTCCTAGTTATTCCATGGGAGCATATCACTTTGGTTTTAAAAAAATAGTACTAGGAAGCACTTCAAAAACTGTCCAAACCAGGAATTTCTAATCCATATAATCAGGAAAAACAGTCAATAACAATGAATATTTATATTCTAACTATCACATAAAATTAGCTGGACATTCAATCATAGCCATAGTGTCAAATATATGGTAATATATGAGAATAATGGAAGAATCTGAAATATTTTGAGACATGAAATCGATAAACTGTAGATAGTGACAAATAAATATGCAGGCAGTGTAATTTTCACTTTTTGATTGGCCACTACATGTCCTCTAGTGGAAAAATAATGCTATATATATATATATTTGTACAATTATATATTTCTACATCAATACCATAAAAAAGCATGCATAAGAAAACAATGAATACATGGTTCACATAGGAGTTCAATTGATAGACTATGTGTAATAAATTTTATCTTTCATGTGAAATAAAATTTAGAAGTAACTTACATTTTTTCTATGCCTGGGGGTACTATTTTCAATACCATTGCTATCATCTGATTTCCTGTATAGATAAGAAAAAACAAAGTTGGTAAGGAATTACACTGTAAGTTAGTACACCATCTTTAGTCTATAATTGTCAGACTAAAATGTAGCTCAATACAGACAGAATTCACTCATTTTAATTTTTAGTATTTTTTTTTTCATGATGGTCTAAACCCAGCTCACGTTCCCTATTAGTCGGTGAAAAATCCAACTATTAGTGAACACTGCTTCATAATGATAGGAAGAACTGACATGGAAGGATCAACAAAGGCAGAGTTGCAGACCAATGGAACAGAGTTAAATATACTGACATCTCCTCCCAAACATATAATCATCTAATCTTCGATAAGGGGGCAAGAAAAGTGAAATGGAGCAGGGAAAGCCTCTTTAATAAATTGTGCTGGCAAAACTGGACGGCTACATGCAAAAAGTGGGCTCAGATCTCTGCCTAATGCCATGCACAAAAGTAAGATCGAAATAGATTTATGACCTCAACATCAGACCGGAATCCATAATGTTTATTGAAGACAAAGTTGACAAAACTCTTCATGATATTGACGCTAATGGTATCTTCAAAGATGTCACGCCACTGGCTGAGCAAGTGAAAACAGAGATAGACAAATGGGACTATCTTAAACTAAGAAGCCTTTGCACCTCAAAAGAAACAGTGACCAAAATACAAAGACAGCCTACAAAATGGGAAAGGATATTCACCAAATACACATCCAACAAGGGGTTGATATCAAGGATATACAAGGTACTGGTTGAACTCCACAAGAAGAAATCACCCAACCCCATCAAAAAATGGGGCGAGGAAATGAACAGAAACTTTCACAAAGAAGAAATCCAAATGGCAAAAAGGCACAAGAGAAAATGCTCTACATCACTAATCATCAGAGAGATACAGATCAAAACAACAATGAGATATCATTTCACACCACAGAGACTGGCCCACATCCACAAGAACAAAAGCAACCGGTGATGGCGTGGATGTGGCGAGAATGGGACCCTCCTTCACTGCTGGTGGGAATGCCGGCTGGTCCAACCCTTTTGGAAAACAGTATGGACGATTCTCAAAAAATTAGAATTTGATCTCCCATTTGACCCAGCTATAGCACTCCTGGGAATATATCCCAGAGAGGCAAAAAGGTAAAGTCGAAGTGACATCTGCAATTGTTTGTTCACTGCAGTACCCTTTACAATAGCCAGAATCTGGAAAAAACCTGAGTGCTCGAGAACAGATGACTGGTTAAAGAAACTTTGGTACATTTACACAATGGAGTACTATGCAGCTGTTAGAAAAGATGAAGTTATAAAATTCACATACAAGTGGTACTACATGGAAAGTATCATGTTAAGTGAAATGAGTCAGAAAGAGCGGGATAGACACAGAAAGATTGCATTCATCTGGGGAACATAAAGCAACAAAATGGGAGACTAACACCCATGAATGGCTGAGATTAGTACCAGGAATTTTGCTCCATGACTCGAAGGCCAGCCACACGTGCTAGGTGAAAAGGAAGCTCAGATAGAGAAGAGAGCACCAAATAAAGGGTGTTGTGAGGACTCTCCCAGGGTGGGAGAAGCATGCTAAAAGTAGTCTATAGAACAAACATGATTGCCATTCAATGCCTCTCTTGCGAAACACAGTACCCAAAAGAAGAGAGAGAGAACAAGGGGGAATGCCCTGCCACAGAGGCAGGGTGGGACGCGGGGGAGGGGGGGGATAGGGAGTGGGAGGGATGCTGGGACCCGTGGTGGTGGAGGATGGGCACTGGTGGAGTGATGGGTACTTGATCATTGTATAACTGAAACCCAACCACAAAAATTTATAAGTCTATAACTGTACCTCTTGGTGTTTCACTAATAAAAAAATTAGATAATAAAAATAAATAAATAAATAAGGAAAAATAGATAAATAAATAAAAATTAATCAGTAAAAAAAAGCATTGTTGCTATGAACACTTGGCTGTCACTCTTATTTTCAAAAAGTGTGTGTGTGTGTGTGTGTGTGTGTGTTATTTGGAGGAACTTAATAAGTAAACACTTTGTAAGGCTCAGAGGTCACTCCCAGGGGTGCTCAGAGGAACATACAGTACTAGGGATTGGAACCAGGCCTCCCACTTGCAAAGCACATGCTCCAGCCCCTTGAGCTATGCTCCTCACTAAAAAAAGATCTTACTCTTAATGTGACTCTGCGTTTATGCCATTGCTTACAGAGGAAAAACTGTCACAGACAACATCGGCAAAACCTGTTTATTCTATGAGAGGAATACTTGTTTCTCCTCAAGCATGTGTGTAAGGTTGATGACATGACCATAATTTATGTGCTGTTTTGAAGCATGTAAGATAATTGCCAGCCAAAGGACCTCAGCCAAATATGCTTAGTAGAGATGCTATACTTTGATATGCTTATTACAATGAATTAGAGTCTAAACATAGTTCTTTGTCTACTCAATGTTCTTCAGAGAAAGACTACAAATACAGACATCAGATTCTTACGAAATGACCTAGGTAACAAGGGTGTATAAGTAGCGGCCTTCTAGGTCTTATAGACAAGACAAGCTTGAGCTCATTAAACTATTACCACCAGAGAAATTAAAGCATCCTATCAATTATGTAAAAAGTAGGATAATGGGGATGTAGATGAGATGTGTAGATAAGTATCTGAGCAGATCACATATTTCAGTGATTTTTCTCATTTCAATATTTATTATTTGAAGTAAATGCTTTGTTTTTTAGAAAATCATTTCAGCATGAAATTTTATGAATCCCTTGTACTTAAAATCATATGTAAACATTAGCTTAAAATGTACTGATTGAAATACTTATTTTAATTCCAAGTGGAATTTATCTCCTCACTTAAAATTCTAAATGACCCTGGTAAAAGGTTCCTCTGAATGATTCCAAGGGTCCCTGATACTTGTATTATACTTAAGATATTGAAATACGTCAAGGATGGGAAAACTAAAACACAATCAGTGATCTTCATGGAATAGTACAGGTTGGAGAAAAGAAGTACAACATCCGAATGTTTTTAAAAGAGACAACACTTTATGAATCAAATCAGTTAAATATTTTAAATATTCTTTAAAATGTTGACATATTATCGTTAAACCCATTTTTGTGGAGAAAATTGAAATCGAAAGGTGAAAGTAGTAAGTGATTGAAAGGAATGGTAATGCAAGCAAGGCAGACTTCTAGATTCAACTTTTTACTACAACATAGATGTGCACAGGAAATGACACATAAACTATCTCATATGCTTCTTTCTTCTTTAACCGCGACCATCTTTCTTAGTATCATATTGCTCTGTATTTTACTCAAATGAAAATTAATCTGCAAGAAAAATACTTACAGTTGTTCAATTTGTTCAAATTCTTTCCCATCATCTGTAACAAAATAAGATTGATTTACTGTATCTATGGGATATGAATATTCAATTACATTGTCCCAAACTTAAGATTATATTTTTTGAAATGAAGGACACATTTGCTACAACAGTAGACAGAACTCCCTTATCTTTCATCTTTGCTTCCTCTTTTTCTGTTCTCTAAACTTTATCTGCAGTTTGGTTGAGCATAGGCTACTGCCTGGAAATGTCAAAAAAAATTTTGTATTGATGGATTTTAGATTACTTGTTATTAAAAGTTCAGTGCAAAATTAGTTAAGAAACAACATGTTCCTTAACTCTTATGCAAAGATAGAAAACTGACATGACGATTTTTAGGAAAATTCCAAAATATTTAATGAAACATTTAAAGTCAAATATCAAACTAAAAGAGTAATTGTCACTTATTTTATTTTTATGAATCCACTATAGATTTTCTAAAATAATAATTTAGATTAATGACTAGATTAGATTAATAATATATTGATAATAATTTAATAATTAGATTAACAATAATAATTTTGATTTGCTTCCATCTACATAGGGACCGGAATTGTACACTATCTGGTACCTATGTAGATGACAGCAAATTCAATGAATATGGGGGAACGTATATTTTAGTGCTAAACGATTTTAGGAATCTGAATAGGAAAACCATGAACATAAACTCAACTCACTGTTACTATTTAACATAAAGATCACAGCAAACAACAAAAGCTGTATTTCCTCCCAAGTTCTAAAGCCATAATAATATTTATGCCACAGTATTATCTAATGAAAACATTATATGGAAATAGAAATCCTACCTGGGCGTTTTCTTTTCTTTTGGGTATATGTTTCACAAAGCAGAATAATAGTCACTAAAACAGCCACCTCAGCAGCTATTGCAAGAAATGGTTTGAGGGGCACCAAATAGCTCAGCACGACAAGTTCAATGTGTTCTTCACTCTCGCCTAACTGAAATACTGCATGGCACCAGTAAGATCTCTGATCTTCCTCTGTAAGTTGCATGATCTTGAGTCTTGTTTCATTAGCATTCGTTGTGTTAATCATATACTTTTCATTAATTCGAACATCAATAGGTACCTAAAATAAGAAGCCATTAAAATCCATTCCGATTGCATCAAGGATACATGTCCAAAATAATCAAGTTTTGAGGAAGATGGTAATAAAAGAATACATATTTGAATGTTCTGTGAATATCTGTGACGAGTTACACATAATAGAGCGCAAGGCTTATCAGATTGGTAACTCCCTGGGACAACAGAAGAATGCTTTGCCTTAAGAATTTGGCATTGCGTAACTGAAACTATGACATTAGGTCATCCTGTGTAAGGAGGAGATTAAAATTAACAGAAAAACCTCAGCCATCTGCGTTTCACATTACAATCCCTGACTACCAACTCAAAGTATTATCTCCATCAAAAATGTGGAAATATATTAGATTATTAAAACAACAGATGCATTCAACCTGATTTTCCGTAATAGAACATAGGCTTTTGGCATTGGGAGTTCCTCAAATTAGTGCTGAAGAATGAAATCATTAGGTTTCTGAAGCTGGTGTAGAAGGACTGAAAGAAATTTCCTATGTGTGTGAGTGCTTGGGTAGGGGCACACTTACTTAGAAATTCTCCAGGCTTACTCCTGTTGAGCCTGGCACATGTGCTGCTCTGCACGCCTATCTCGGCTTATCAAAATTTCATTCTCAGGCAAGCTGATTTCTGAGTATCACTGGGTTTTCTTTGGCCTTTTAAATTTCATATGAAACCATTTGCAGGGTGATTTATTTAATCCATTCAAATTAAATTTTATTCTGAGCCCATTTGATACTTTTACAGCTCTATCATTCAACTGCACTGTTCAATAATGCTACATTTTTTTCTTTTTTTCCTTTCTCTGCTTAATTTTTCAAAGAAATCTTAACTGAGGTACTCTGATTTACATTGTTAAAGACAGTTTCATATATATATTATATATATATGTATATATATAATTTCAACACCACACAGACCACCAGTGTAAACAATTAGGTGTTAATCTTATTGAGGTTACATGGAACTATTCTCCGAGGCTATCTGATAAAACCTCTGAGTTTAATTTGCTGTAAAATAAAATAAAGCAACTTGGATCTCTCTGTACCATATTGCCTGGATTGCTTTTTACAAATGTTCTCACTCACACATAACAAACCAAGTGCTACTAATAAGCAGTGCAGGTCAATCTGATGAAGTTAGCTGGTCCAGATTTTGAAAATATAGCGCTGTAGCACTACCCTCCCATTGTTCATCGATTTGCTCGAGCGTGAACCAGTAACATCTCCATTGTGAGATTTGTTGTTGCTGATTTTTGGCATATTGAATACGTCATGGAAAGGCTCTGCCATGCGAGCAAAATACTCTCGATAGCTTGCCAGGCTCTCCGAGAGGGGTGGAGGAATCAAACGTGGGTCGGCCACATGCAAGGCAAACGCACTACCCGCTATGCTATCACTCTGGTCCTTTGAAAGATACTCGGCTTAAAATTTTGACCTATCCTCATTTTCCTAAACTTTTCTCACATCTTAGAAAAACTCACTCATGTGAGTTTGAAAGGGGGAGAGGGATCACACCTGGAAGTTCTCAAGGTTTATTGCTGGCTCTAAACTCAGGGGGTCACTCCTGGTGGTGCTCAGAGATGCCAGAGATCAAACCACGGTCAGCCACATGTAAGACAAGTGTCCGTCCTATGCTACAATTTCTCCAGCCCTTAATAGAACTCACTTTTTAAGAGTAACTAGGAGAAAATCAGATAGGAAATAGAGACAGGCAGAAACTACAGTTAAACATTTATATATAATATAATATAGGTAAAGGCCCTCCCGTTGATCGTCGATTTGCTCGAGCGGGCCCAGTAACGTCTCCATTGGAGATTTTGTTGTTACTGTGTCTGGCATATCGAATACTCTCGGTAGCTTGCCGGGCTCTCCGAGAGGGGCGGAGGAATCGAACTCGGGTCGGCCATGTTGGCTGCTTGTAAGGCGAACGCCCTACCGCTGTGCTATCGCTCCTAATATAATCAAATTTAAATCAATTAAAATTATTTGTTTAATATCGGTCATAAAAATAAATTAGATTGTGTATTTCAATACTAAGACTAATAATAGGAGAGCCCGGCAAGCTATCGAGAGTATTCGATATGCCAGACACAGTAACAACAAAGTCTCCAATGGAGACGTTACTGGGCCCGCTCGAGCAAATCGACGATCAACGGGAGGGCCTTTTTTTTTAACTTTATGTATGTTAACAATATTTACAACTATAGAAACTATAATAAGATCCCATGGTTTATTTTCCCCTTAATCTCAGGCATTTTATTTCTTTTGAGAACATGACTTGAAATACTACAGAGCCAAAAATCTTATTAAAAAGTATACTCACAGATTTACTCATAGGACTGGAGTGATAGCACAGTGGTAGGGCATTTGCCTTGCTGAGCCAGGCTCGATTCCTCTGCCCCTCTTGGAGAGCCCGGCAAGCTACCGAGAGTATCTCGCCCGCATGGCAAAGCCTGGCAAGCTCCCCGTGACGTATTTGATATGCCAAACACAGTAACAAGAAGTCTCACAATGGAGACGTTACTGGGCCCGCTCGAGCAAATCGATGAACAACGGGAGGACAGTGCTACAGTGCTACTGCATAGTTGTAAAAACCTTGTCTACTGTAAATCATTTTAGTTATGTGTGAGGAAATAAAGTATGAAAAAATCTTCAAATAGATAAAATGTTTATCTTTCCTAATCATCAAGGTAAAGATAAGCATTAATAGTTCGACTCTACTTCTAAGTGATTTGGGGAGCCAGTTCTTTGAAAATATAAAAGGTATTACAAGGGAATCAAATCACTGTACCTTTTAAGTTCATCATCTATCATCCTAAAGGTCTAGAGCATCAACTTATCTTAGAAGGAACTTAGTATTTTATTGGCAGACTTATACTATCTCATACAACTCCTTCTGAATTATAGCTTGCTTTACAGGACTTCTATATCACCACTAATTAATAACAAAGCAATGGAAGGATGTCTATTAAAGAATTTCTCTTAAGATAGTCAAGAATATCTCTTAAAGGATAATGGAGTAAGAAAGGGAACCATCTTTAACAAAATTTTAAATTACTTGCTTCCCTTAGAAATGACAAGTATTTGAGAAACAGACACACTTACAGATAGTATCCGAGACCATATTTAAGTTAAAAACATTCATTATTTTCCCAAATAGTTCCATAATACCATATTGGCATCACAAGTGTGTACGAGGGCAAAATCAAGAAGAGAAGAATGTTTTTTGTTTTTTTTCTAGATGCCTTCATGGAATAATAGGCTAAAAACAATGTTTTTTCATGAGGTCACTGGAGCGATAGCACAGCGGGTAGGGCGTTTGCCTTGCACGCAGCCAACATGGCCGACCCGAGTTCGATTCCTCCGCCCCTCTCGGAGAGCCCGGCAAGCTACCGAGAGTATTCGATATGCCAGACACAGTAACAACAAAGTCTCCAATGGAGACGTTACTGGGCCCGCTCGAGCAAATCTATGATCAACGGGAAGGCCTTTACCTTTACCTTTTATTTATAACCTTAAAACTGAAGACAAATTTTAATTTATAAGAAGTTTGAGTAAATTGCTAACTCTAAAACTCAAAGTACTAGCTAATAAAATCCCAAGTATCTGCAGATGTATAGTATAAAATGCTAAAGATATTAAAAACAACTTCATTTATCAGAGAGCTACATTTTTCACAATTCACTTATAAGTATTGATGAATTAAAGAGGATGATAAAGAAAATGTGAGTCAATTACAAGCATATCATTTATCAAATAAAAGTTTTTATTTTTTTTTAAACCAAATAAATAAATCTTACCTGAATACTTCCATTGCTACTGTACCAGGTCCAATTTAAAGGAAAACAACCGTGACATACACATTTCAAAACAGTTGAGTCTCCCACATAAGTGATCAATGGTTTACTTTTTCTATGAAGTTGAGGGACTAAGAAAAATTATGAAAAATGCATGTTACTGAAAGAGTCTGAGTTGGAGAGAAATATTCAAGTTGACACATTATTCTTATCTTCTCATTATTATAATTTTATTTATGTAGTTTGAGCTTTACATGATATCAAATTAATTTATGGTATTTATCTACAATTGAACTTATTAATATTTATAAGTACTATAATAACTGATACATGTTTGGGGTCAGGAAAAAAAACTGGCTTGATTGGTTCAAGACAACACAACTGGAGGAAGCTGAAACTTGCCTCTTCCCATTGACAAACAAATCTACAATTACATAGAATACAACTTACGAGAAAGAAGACCTGAAATAGGATGAAAAAAATACAATAAAGAATAAAAGAACAACACCAAATAGGTACCAAAGAGAGAGGGGGGGTCTCTCACGAAGATACCCCACTCTGAGTGTAGGAATTTCTAGTTTATTCAGACACAATTCTGAATTGCAAAACTCTTCCCCAGGGAGGAAAGGAGAGTGATGTCCTATATTGGGAACCCAAACATTTGCATTCTGTGCTTCAGAGATGAGTCCTTAGCACTGAAGCATTATGAAAATGGCATGAAGATCTGAGAATTACAGAAGAGTAAACCCCCACAGACTCTGTTGCCCAGGGATATAACACAGACCTGAAAAACATTTGAACCATAAATGAAGAAAAAGTAACTAACACTCTTACAGCATCTGCATGAGAAGATGCTTTGGGAATGATTCTCTGCTCAGACACGCTAGTGTCAATCACGTCAGCAACTTTCTATAATGCCACAAATTTTAGATATGCGTGAGTACCACGTTAGAATTCACCCTAAAGTCCACTAAAGTCTGGACCAAGTTGTGCTGTGAGCGCCACCCTCCAAAGCAAGACTACCACAGGCCATCGCTTGACTCCCAGAAACACCCTCTGTCATCGTTTTTCAGTCTCTCACCTGGAACCACCACTGGCCATTCCAGACACAGGTGCTACTGGGGAGGGTTAAGGCTCCAACCACCAATGTACAGAAACAAGTCATCATATCTGGTCTGGGACTGGAATACCTGCCACCCAGCACATCGAATGTCTCCACATGCCCCACCAGCATGCCATGGCCAGTAGGAACAATAGCATCTCACACTATGTCACATAGCAAGAGGATGGATTCAGTCCGCATACTGAGATAAACCTGGATATTTCTGCTTAGCTGCCCCAGAGTACTGTGCCCCAGCACTCTTTTAGATAGTGCTTACACAAAACCATTCCTATAGTACAGTTGAATGATGCCAAAGAATCAAGCACCGAGAATCAGGCAAGTCAGAGAATCAGGTGAGAGGAAGCTGTACCCCCCAAAAGAGCAAGACAAAAATTCTGAAAAGGTCTGTATTGAATTGAATTTATGTAAAGAACCTGATGAAAAGTTTAAGTAGTGGTTGTAAAGATGCTTACTAAACTCAGTATGGACAAAAAAGAAAATGTACGTTTTACCCAAGCATTAAACAATATAGAGCACAGGCAAGTACAATAGTGGAGAGATATCAGCAGTGATAAAGAAGTTGATGCCTCTGATAAGTGAGTTCAAGGCCAAAGCAACAGAATTCACCCAGACAGGCCCCCCTATACAGTTCTCAGGGGTTTTCTAGGGCCATACCTGGCAGTACTTGAGAGGCTGTGTGATGCTAGTGTTCAATTTAGGGCCCAGAGATACAAAGCCTACACCCCTCACTGTCAGCTACACCCTCATACCTGCTTTTCTTAGTTAAGATTTATTATAATCTGTAATGCCTATGGGCTTTCAACAGAGTGGTCATTAGCCAGGTTAAAAGGATAGATTACTGTTATGTGCAAGAATGATTTTTTAACAGCAGATGGCCCCATGGAACAAAAAAAGAAAGAAATAAGATGTGAAATAAAAAGTGGAAATATTCATCTTGATATATCTCAGAATGATAGGAATGTATAAAAATATGTAGGAAAAAGAAAACAGTCACAGATTTAAGTCATTTACAGATTATCCACTTCACTGAGAAAGGTGATGAGGAAAGTGAACAAATTAAATATATGAGACACGATTAAGAAGAATAATGATTCAATAATAGACCCTCATCCTATAATGACAGATACCATCTTGACACCATTGCTGCAATTTGTGTTAAAGCCACATTCATGTGTGAGCCACTACTGGTACACATCAGTGTTAATGTATTAAACAGTTTTTCAGTGAAACAATAAAAGAAATTTACTGTATTAACTAGCACATTCTAGTACCTGGTTAAAGAAACTGAAATATTATGTTTGTATAAGAATTGCAATATAACTCCAAGGAGTTAGAACATTTTAAATCGGGTTGCCTAATTATTGCTCCTTACCCTATCAAATTAAACTGGTTGAAAGGTTAAAAAGTAAATTTTATTTCCAGACCTGTTTAGTATATGGAGCAGAATGAATATGAATACATGGGATAATAACTACACATTATTATAAAACCTAGGAACAGAAAGGAAATGACCCATTTAAACCCATTTAAACAACGTACTGTTTAAACATCAAAAGGCAGAATGATGCAAATAATACTTTGACCATGAGCTAAATTTTATAATAAAACAGTAACTAGTATCCAAATAGATTTTTTGAAAAATGAAAGTACAGGGTATCTCTTACGTAGGAGTATTTCCCGGTTACATTAAGCAACTTGAGGCAATTTGGTTCAATTTCCTCAGTCCCTGGCTACCCCTTCAAACTCATCACTAGACCCAGGGAGTATTATAGGGAAGAAGAAGAATAAATACTTGAAAATTATAAGTAATTCTTACAAGAGGCCAAGAGGACAGTAACATAACAGCTTGATATTTACAGTATATCACTATAGTAATACAGCTGATAATAACATATTTTAAGTTTCTGAAATACAGGATGGTATAATTTAGATATTAAAATAGTAAAAGCTGGAGGCTAGAGTGATAGTACAGTGGGTAGGGTGTTTGCCTTGCATGTGGTCAACCCAGGTTCGATTCCCAGCATCCCATATGGTCCCCCAACCAATGGCCAGGAATAATTACTGAGTGCAGAGCCAGGAGTAACCCCTGATCACTGAGGGTGACCCAAAAGGGAAAAAAAAGTAAAAGTTGAAATTAGGCAAAAACATAGAACATTTTATCATGTTAAGTTCTCTTAAGGTATATCCAGTTTCTTGTACACATGGGTGGTGGCGGGTATCTAGAGAAGGATGGCCAGTATCTGTGGCCTAAAGTCACTGGTATCTTCAATATAAAATCCCTGCTCAAATCAGAGGAGGACTGTCTGTCCTGAATTACTCTTGTTCTGGCATTACTGGACTCTGTTCTAGGGCTGAGAGTTTGGAGATGCAGATAACACAGCCCCAGTAATACGTTTTTCTGATGTTGGAGGGTATTTCCTTGTACCTGGAGTCTTAAGTGTCAAACTGAAATGGGATGTGACGGATCGATGACTGTTTTCTAATTTAAGGCTACCAAGACCCAGCTGAGTAAAGGAAGCCACCTGTGTAGTCAAAAGAGACTTCAGCAAGGTTTGTGTTAAAGGCTAGCCATGTCACAGGTTCCCCCAAAAGTGTTCCTTTGCTTTGATGTAGTTCGTGGGTTCATTTCTTTAGATGAGCTGTTGCTGGGAGGAGGAATGATTGGACCAAGCAAGAATGGAGCTATCTTTTTGTTTTGTTTTATTTCATTGCATTTTTTAAAATTGAATTACAGTGAGATAACACAGTTACAAGGTTGTTCATGATAGGCTTCAGGGGAATGGATCTATTTTTGCACCTTCTGACAAATCACTTAGAATTCAGCGGTTCAACATCACTTTCCAATCACATTTCACTTCAATATGCCCAATACCTAGTGTGGGTTTCTTAGTAAACAAAGTAGAAGAATGCAAGAACTTTCCTTAAGAAGAAAAATTTCATTTAAAAAGATTTACCTGATTTGTGGAGAGATCTCACAAACGTGATGCAGATAAAGGCCAGAGAGACAGGGTTAAGGCATTCCTTGACTTAGCTGACCCTGCTTCACTATCTGGCACTGCATTTGGTCTCTTGAGCAATGCCAGGAGTATCCCTGAGCACAGAGCCTTGAATACAATTGTGTGTGACTGCTGATCCCCCCACCTCCCCCCCCCACACAAAAGTAAAGCAGGGATTCAAGTTTGACTAAAATAGGGTTTCTTTTCTGAAGCTTGGGTGGAGCAAAATCATACTTCATTTCAGTTACACATGGTAATGATCAACACATATATCTTTATCACTGCTTTATTTTGAGGGGTGTCAGTCATACTCAGGGGCTATTCTTGGCCCTGTTCCCAGGAATGACCCCTGATGGAGCTTAGGGAACTACAGGTGGTGCCAGCACGTGTAAGGCAAGACTTTACCCACTGCACTGTTGCTTCAGCCCTATTCCTGCTTTTTTAACAGGACAGCTCTTGGCTTTTTTTTTTTTTTCTGAAGCCAGGCTAAGCTCACCCTAAACCAAGCACTGCTGTGAAGGCAGTCTTCGAAATGAGTTGTGTTGGTCATTTGTTAGGGGCATAATTTCTCTCTGTTCTAGACTGATATCTCCAAGATTACTGATTCCTCAATCTCAGCATGCATCTTTTTGGAAATTAGGTCAGCAAGAAAAGATATCGAAATATGGCCCAAATATGAAAATGTGCCCATAAGATAAGAAACAAAAGTAAAAGAAAAGCAACATTTGAGGGAGCAATGTAGCAGAAGATACACCTTTTTACTTTTCACTAAGTCTTTATGTTTTTCTTTTTGGTTTTTGGGCCACACCTGGCTTGAGGGTTACTCCTGGCTCTGCACTCAGGAATTAATTACTCCTGGCAGTGCTCAGGGCACTATATAGGACGGTCCCAAACACCCTACCTGGATCACAAACACCCTACGCTCTGCCTCTCCAGCTCCTTCAATAAGTCTTTGTGAGGCACAAGCTTGATATGCAACTGAGTAAACAAAAGTTTGGGTAACCTATGAGAC